TATTTGTGGGATGTTTCACCCTACATATAAACCACATTACTATTTGGCAAAAACATCTCCTGTTATTTCATATGTCACTATTTAATTTACCAGATATGAAGCCCCTATTTTCCCAATTAAATTTATAAGCTCTTTGGGAGATAGACCTCATTTTGTTTTTGTTTTTTGGGTTTTTTTGTTTTTTTTTTTTAATGATTTTACTTATTTATTTGACAGAGAGAGACACAGCGAGAGAGGGAACACAAGCAAGGGGGAGTGGGAGAGGGAAAGCGGGCTTCCCACTGAGCAGGGAGCCCGATGCAGGGCTTGATCCCAGGACCCTGGGATCATGACCTGAGCCAAAGGCAGGCGCTTAACCGACTGAGCCACCCAGGTGCCCCTCATTTTGTACTCCTTATATTCTTGCCCGAATCCAAATTCTGTAAGCAATCAATAAACTAATTAATTGATTTTCCAATTTACTAAAAGTTCATTGGAAATCTATTTTGCACATACTATTTCTGTTAAAAAAAAAAAAAAGAAAATCAAAGTCTTGCTCCTAACAGAGTGTCTAGCACATAGTAGACACTCAATAAATATGTACTGAACTGAACCAAAAAGAGCAAGGCAGATGCTCCCTGTAGTGTGGAACTGCAGTTAGGTTGATGCCATTGTCTAGCAGTTGGCCAAGACAAGACTGTAGATATAAGAAAGAGAAAAGTCATGTCAAATTAGTTGGGCCCAAGAGGAAACAAAACAAAAAAAGAAAAACTAATCAAATATTCAAGATGACCATATGTTCATGCAGTAATGAGATGAACAATCTGGACATGCCTATACAGATCAACCCCCTCATACAAACTCCTAGGAGGTGGGGATGGCACATTATATAAAGATTCTGTAGTGTTTAACATTAGCCCATTACAGATGGCTAGCAGTTGTTAACAACCAACTAACAACTCAAATGTGCTAAGGAAATTCCTCCTTGAACTGAAAAATACATTTCAGAAATATAACCAGATCATATAAGGCCATGTTTTTCAAAGGGCGGTCCACAAACCACATCCATCAGAATCACTTGAGACATTAAAACGCACATTTCCAAATCCCACTCAAAAACTACAAAATCAGAATGGGGAAGAGGAAGAAAGGAAGGGGAATACTACGAACCTGCCTTTCTAATAAAATCTCAGGTGATGCACACCAAAGTGTAAGGCCTTTGATATAAAATATCTATAATTATATGCACTAGTAAGGGAAAGATTTTCTTTTCTACTCCTGACTTTTCACTCTTTCCACTGTTTCCTTATTTCCTAGACATCTGTGTTCCCATACTCTTACCCTCATTAACTAGCCATTTTTCCTAGTTCTAAGACAGTATTTGAAAGATTCTTTCCCATTCTGTTGTGCAAATCCCACCCTCAAACTACAGTACAACTGCTTTTTCTGTATTGAAATAATCTACTACACTGTATATATAAAATCAGTTCTGATCCAAATAAATACCAAACCAATCTGATTAATGAACCATTGGTTAATGAACCATTTCATTTTTAATTCAGGTCAATTTGAATTTAGGTAGTCAAGATTATTAAGCAAATATTACTCAAATAAGATAAGCCATATCTGACCTCTACTTGCTGAACAATACCTTGCCTACTTGAGTAGTTTCTTTCAAGATCATGTTGCAAGAGTCGACCAGAGAATGACGGTGCTTCTTTATTTAGCTTGAATTCAACCTAAAAAACATTATTTGGGGAAAAATTTAACAGTAAGTAATGAAGATAATTATAAAATTATATACAATACTGACACAAGCCACAACAGAAATGAACCTTGAAAACACGATGAGTGAAAGAGGCAAGACACAAAATGGCACATAGCATAGGATTCCATCTATGAAAAACTGATAATAAAAAAATATAAAGAGACAGAAAACAGATTTGTGGTTTTCAAAGGGGGTGGGAAGAGGAAATGGGGAGTGATTGTTTAATGGGTACAGGGACGCTCTTTTTTTTTTTTTTTTTTTAAAGATTTTATTTATTTGACAGAGAGAGACACAGCGAGAGAGGGAACACAAGCAGGGGGAGTGGGAGAGGGAGAAGCAGGCTTCCCGGCGGAGCAGGGAGCCCGATGTCGGGCTCGATCCCAAGACCCTGAGATCATGACCTGAGCTGAAGGCAGACGCTTAACGACTGAGCCACCCAGGCGCCCCCAGGGACTCTCTTTTGAGTGACAAAAAGTTCTGGAACTACATAGTGATGATGGCCGCACAACCTTGTGAATGTATTTAATACCCCTAATTTGTACAACTTAAAATGGCTAAAATGGCAAATTTTATGTTATGAGTTTTTTTAATACACACACATACACACACACACAATCAGAGTCAATTTCATGAGGTCAGATGAAACTATGCTCCAAACCACTTGCAATTCCTCCATACCCTCACCACAAACACAATGATTAAAAGAACCATTTTCCAGAAAACAAAAGCAAAAACCATGACAAAAAGTAAATTCTGTTGAAGAAAAAATCACTATATTTTTATCATTAGAATTCCTTTTAAGAATCCAAGTATAATAAAATTGTATATCTAAACCTTCTAAGAAGGGTTTTCTCTAAATTGATTTTAAATTATTTGATAGGAGGACTGAGAAAAACAAAACCAAAACAAACACTCATGATTAGCCACCAAAAAACCCTAAGTACCTATCTTAAAAGAGTTATGATGCTTCTGATTCATCCATACTATAAACATTATAACAGCATTTGCATTATAACTTTATGAATTATATGAGCTAAAGGTATTTTCTCAGAACATATGTCCACTCTAGAGAAAGTAAATGGGTTTGAAAACAATCTGGACAAGGCACATAGTTCCTAGAAATACATTGTAATGATAAAACAGGATTTTTCCAGCAAAATCAATTAGCAAAACTTTGGAGGGAATCCATTACATCCAATTATAATAAAAAATATTTTCAATTAACCTAGCTAATTGCTATTTATTCAAGATGATCAAGTGGTCTACTTTCCAAGTGTTTATTTTCACATATAACGTAATCAACTACTGCCCCCTTGACTAATGGTGTCCTTCCATCAACACTCCTCATGCCCCTCCTTACCCTCCTCATGCTGTTGTTTGTAAACTCTGTCCTTCACTTTAGAGTTCCCCCAGTGACATCTATTGAATAATCTTTTAGGAAAAAAACTGAATTGTGATGGTTGGAGGTATCCAACTTGGACAAAGGGGGAAAAATTGTTTTGTGTCTTGAGACAGTTCTGTGGGAGGTAGATGAGAATGTCTGAGTGCTGAGGTGAGACAGGAGGGAAAGAAAAATGTGTATCTCAAAAATCAAATCTAAAGCTAGAAATAATGCAAATGCCAGGGGATACTGTGTGCAAATTTGGGGGAAAAAAATCTTATGTTCGTATCTTCTTCTAAATAGCATTAAGCTCAATATATTTTCACTGCTAATCTATTACGTTCTCCTTGATTTTAAATGGAATGTGTAGATGTATTCCCCCCAAATTATCACATTTTATCCATTATAAGATGCCATCAGTAGGAAGACATACCATCATTTTACCACTACTAAGAAAGAAAAAGCTTTCCTAATTCAACTATGATGTGCCATCAATTTTAAGAAGAATCCTGACTTAAGAAATGTTTAAATGTAAAAAAAAAAACAAAACAAAACTCACCTCTTGTAACTGGTGAAATAAGAATCAGTTTTTAAAAGAGGCTTTTAAAAGAGGCTTTGACTTTATGTGGGCAGAAAATAAAAATTATTTTAGCTCTACTCTTCAAATCATGCTGCTATTTGTGTAGATTACAAAATAATTTATCTTCGATTTAAATACAAATCTGCTTAAATCTTACTTTGCTTTTTTCAGGAAGCGATGATGTTTGAATAACCAGATGAAGCCCACAGTTCACCTGCAATGTAAAAATTATAGCATAAAATATGCTCTTAACTTATATACACACATATTTCTCCCCAAACTGGTACAGATAAAGATATAACAAACACTTAGAATAAAACAGAATGCTTGCTTTTTGTTTGTGGTAAATGATCATGTTCTGAGGATCTGCTGAAAACAATAAAATCACGACTAAGAATTAAAAGGTTTCACTGTGATTTATTTTCCAAAATGTCTGCAGCGATTTAACCCTCTACCTTAGCACCTCAGGTTTTTGACACCTGCCATCTCAAGTCTACCTAAATATCTCAATGGGACAGGTGAAGGAGGGGGAGTACCTATTAATAATACATTTTTTTCTAAATTAAGAAAAGGGGTGGGAGATTGGTTAAAAGAATTGAAATGAACCTTAGCCTTTCACAGCAGACCAGCTCCACCTTCTGGGAAGCCAAGAACCTGGACAGGACTTTGAATACCCATCATACAATATTAAATACCCTCCAAGTGCCTTGGTCCAGTCCACGTTATCTCAAGCCTCGGTCAGACAATAGCTTGAGTATATTCAGCGGTCCTGGTCCCAATAATACCAGCCCATCACCTAGGACAAAGACGCCAGTCAGAAAGAACGATACGAATGGGGAGAAAGGGAAGGCAGGAGACCCAACTTACGTTGTTCGCAGCCCGGCCAGAAACAGAGCGGTACTTCCCGGGAATCATGGCAGGAGACAGTCCAGGATCTGTTAAATCTGCCTTAGAAGCGACGATATAGCGGAGACTCAGAGACAGAAAGGGGTCATCTCCCAGGCAACCCGCTCAGGGGTTACCATGGAGACGACCATTTCCGGTCTGGTCCTCTCCTAAATCAACTGGCCAACCGGGTCGGTAGAGCCTCCGGTGATGTTTGCCCGGGTCCGGTGCGTCCGCACTTCCTCGTCCTGCTTTCCTGGCCTCCTACAAAAGGAGCCGGGTGTGGGGAGGAGGAGACCGGGAAGAGGGCGGCCGCCTCGGTAGCTGTGACAACCACCACTTCCGGTCCGTTCCTCTTTACGGCCCACCTCAGCTCCGCCCGCGCGAAATTTGGATCCCGCTGCCGGTGGCCACCTGCCCTGGGGGGAGGACGGCCGCGCGCGGGCGGAGGCCGATATCCGAGCACGGCGTACGCCCCCGTGGGGCCCCAGCTCGGCACTTCCGGTGGCCGGAGGTAGGGGCACCGACGCCGCGCGGCGCGGACCGGCGCAGGGGGACCGCGTCGCCCCGGCTGGGAGCGCGCGGGCGTGCGGAGGCCGAGGCCGCTGCCATGCCGGCCCGCTGCGTGGCCGCCCACTGCGGCAACACCACCAAGTCCGGGAAGTCGCTGTTCCGCTTCCCCAAGGACCGGGCCGTGCGGCTGCTGTGGGACCGCTTCGTGCGGGGCCGCCGCGCCGACTGGTACGGGGGCAATGACCGCTCTGTCATCTGCTCGGACCACTTCGCTCCGGCCTGTTTTGACGTCTCTTCGGTTATCCAGAAGAACCTGCGCTTCTCCCAGCGCCTGAGGCTCGTAGCGGGCGCCGTGCCCACCCTGCACCGGGTGTCCGCCCCAGCACCTAAGGGGGAAGAAGAGGCAGAGCACGCGGGCGGCCCCGCAAAGGGAGGAGAGCCCCAGGCAGGCAGGCAGGCAGAGGCCGCCCCGGGGCCGGCCGCCTGTACGCCCCTCCGGGCCAGGAAGAGGGCTGCGCCTTCACAGGTAAAGGGACATCAGAAGTCCACCGAGGGTCGTGGACGGAACCCCGGCCTGTGGCTCGGCTCTGCCACTAGTGTCCCCTCACCTCGAAGGGTTCTGTTTTCCCATCTGTAAAATTAGGAGGGTGCTGTAGCGTGATCTCCAGGTCTTATTTAACATGAACACTATGGAATTATAGTTCCTTCTACCTCCTTCTCCCCCAGCCTCAGACAGACTCACTCTCTCGTCCTTTAGATTCTAGAGTCACCTTCACAGTCCGCTGCAGACTTTTTAAATAGAAAGGGTTCCATTTGAGCAAATCTCAAGGAAAGGGGTGCTTGAAACTGTTTTTGCGTAACATGTTACCTGAGCTTGAGGAAATGATTATAACTGCCAAAATGGTGAGGGAAGGGGGATGCGGAGCTACGGATGAAGATGGGGTTTGCTGATAAACAATCCCTTCCTGCTCCTAAACTTCCTCTTGACTAGCTTCCTGTAGGTTAAAACATCACAGTGAGCTGAATTTTCCCACCTTGCCCTCTTCTGCTAACTTACTAATCCTCATATGCATTGACTAGATTTACTTCGCATCTGCTCACTATATCTTCTTCCCCACTTCCCATCTTAATGAAGACTTCCCAGCCTTATTTGAGATAATCAGACTTCAGCCCTGTCACCATTACATAGATTAAATTATGACTTTTAATTGGATCTAAAAGGTGTTCATTTCTAGAGGTGGGAAGAGTTCACCAAGAAGTCAGCTGATCTGTAACTGACATTTTGGCTTTGAATATTCAGATGCGTTGGTAGAATTTTAGAGCTGAAGGGAAACTAAGTGCTCTTCTAGTCCAGACTCACTTTATGCACAAGGATGTCAATCCAGGAGATTGAGAATCTCTTCACGGGCCTGTAATATTTGCTCTAAGTCCAATTGCCAGACCAAAACTTTTTCTGAAATACCAGCCTGCTCCCTACGTTGGAGTGGGTGCTTAAGACACTTTTAAGGTATCCTGAAATTACTAGGATAAAGAGCAAAAGTATTAACACAACCCACAAGTCCTTGCATGCTTTTTGGGCCTGCCTACCATTCTAGTCCTATCCAAGGCCACTGTCCTTGTTGCTCAGTATACACCAGTCATGTTGATCTTTTCTGTTTTTGAACATGCGATGTTCCTTCCTACCAACAAGCCTTCACTCTTTTGTTTCACGTGATACCCTGGAATTATGCTCCTGCCATTCACCATCATCATCAATTAAGTCTTTTTACTTTAAAAATCAATTCAAACATCCTTTCCCTTTGGTCCCCTAATTACATATTTTCATTCTTCATATATTTCATATGCTTCAGTAGCACATGTACTTCAACAACACATCACAGTTGTCATGAAATAATTGTGTCGTTTGCTTAATGTTTGTCTTCACATTAGAATGTAAGCTCCATGAGAGCAGGGATCCTATCTGACATGTTCATGATTGTATTGACAGTACCTAGACAATATTTTGCAAATTTTAGGAATTCAATAAATATTTGTGGAATGATTATGTGACTCTAAGAACACTTTTTTGTACTTTAATAGAATTTTCAGTTCTCTGCCAGCTACCCTTCTCACCCAGCTATATACCAGTCAAGACATCTGTCCCTTTATCTATCCACTATCACTACTTACCCAACCTTTACCTAAGCACATATATAATACACAAATGCAAATATGTAGTAAAAGAGAGGAACATTAAACATGCCATGCACACCCTTACACCATTTTACTTCCTCAAAATTATACCACCTAATCAAAACTTGGGAGAAGAAAAGCCAGGCTAGTGAAACAATCAAAGATTTTATAACAAAGGCTAACCTTGAGGAAATCTGGAGTACATACCAAACCTACTCTGCAATTAGAATATTATATATATTAATGTAATATATCCAGCCAACATTTCTAACAATCCATATTACATTAATATACTTGCTGTTTATTAGGAAACTATGTGTTAGTTTTATTAATAGTTACTTTAAAAGTATATAAGGTTAAAAAGAGTTTAGAGTTGTTAGCAATCCCTTTTTCGCCAGGTCTGGATTGAGAACCCCAGTAACATTGCTAAGTTTGCTTGTACCACCTCTGGCTCCTTTCCCCACTCATTTCCAATTCCAGGACTAACTGACTAAAAATCAAATTTCCAGGCATTCTACAGCATTTATTGAGGGGCTATTGTAGACACTGTTCTGGGTAGTTGGTGCTTAATATAGATAAATATAACTGAATGTTCCCTATCTGTAGGGAGCTTGAGAAAAGATGAGGGACTATCTCCCAGGAGAAAGGGGGCTCTGAGGAGCACTATACATTATCTGATATTTTGCTTCATGAGACTATGATTATTTTCCTTAACCGTTAATTTCTTATTTTTTTATCCAACTGTATTTTTTAACTGTCTAACTGAAGTGTAACAAATATGCAGGAAAGTGCACAAATATTGTCATTAAATTATCACAGCCTGAACAACTGTAGCCACTAGATGACTCAAAGAAATAGAACACTGCTAACAACCCAGGGGCCCCTGTATCACCTGAGCTGCAGCCTTCCCTCCTTCTTGAAGAAACCCAGTTTGCTTTTTTTTTTTTTTAGCTTCATAAAGTAGAATCATTATGTAGGTATTTCTTGCATCTGGCTTCTTTGTTCAACATTATATTTGTGAGAGTCATCCATATTGTTGCATACAGCAGTAATTTGTTTTCATTATTATGTAGCAGTCCATTGTATGAATATGCCAAAAAATTTATCTGTTCTACTCTATTTGGACCTTTGGGTTGTTACCATTTGGGGGCAATTATAAGTAATGCTGCTATAAGCATTTTTGAACATGTCTTTTTCATATGTGCACACATTTCTGATGGTATATACCTAGAATTGCTGGGACATAGTATTATGTTAAACTTCAATAAATAATTCCAAGTGTTTTTTTAAAATAGTCTTACCAATTCACACTTTACCAGCAGCATCAGAGTTTACATTGTTCCTCATTCTTGCCTGCACTTGGTTTGTTAGACTTTCACATTTGAGTCCTTCTGCAAGGTTTGTAGTGGTGCTTTACTTTGCATTTCCCATTTGTAAATGAAATTAGTAAGGGAACACCTTTTCAAATGTTAATTGTACATGTAGATAGCCTCTTTGGTGATAGGCCCATTTTTCTGTCAGGTTAACTCTTGATTTCGGGTTCTTAATAAATTCTGGCTTCCTTTGTCAGTTAAATATGTTTCAAATATCTTCTCCCACTGTGGCTTGCCTCTTTCCTCTTAATAGTGTCTTTTGATGTACTGAAATTCTTAATTTTAATGTAGACCAACTTACCAATATTTTTCTATATGCTTAATGCTTAGAACATTCTATTATGCTGTTTTCTATAAACTTGTTCTTAATTTTTACATTCAGATCTACAACCCATTCAGAATTGACTTTTGTGTGTGATGTGAGATAGGGTTTAAGTTTCATTTTTTTCCCTTATAGATACCCAGTTGACTCAGCGTCTTCTATTGAAAGGACAGCATTTCCTCATTGTCCTCCAGTGTCAACTTTGTCATAAGTTTCTATGTACACATTAAGTCTGTTTCCACACTTTTAAATTCTGCCCATTTATCCATTTGCATATTTTTTGCAGCATTATCACAGTACCTTAATTACTGTGGCTTATATTAAGAGCCAACATTCAATTGATCGATTTCTCTTACCATGCTCATCTTCATGGATGTCTTGGCTATTTGGGACTCCTTGAAGTTCCATATATATCTTAGAATTGGTTTGTCAATTTCCACAAATTATCTACTGGGATTTGATTGGGACTACATTGAATTTATAAATGAATGTAGGGAGAAAGAGCATATTAACAATAACAGTTCTTCCAATCCATGAACGTAGCATATCCCTACATTAATCTGGGTTTTTATGTTCCTCTTAAAAATATTTTATGGCATTCTATGTAAAGGTTTTGTGCATATTTTATTAGATTTATTCCTATTTGATTTTGCTATTATAAGCAGTATTTAAAATTTTATTTTTTATGTATTTATGTAGATAAATTGATTTTTGTTGACCTTGTATCCAGAAACCTTGTGTAAACCTATTTATTCCAATAATTTGTAGATATTTTTCAATTTTCTACGTGTCTATAGCATGTCAGTAAATAGTTGTTGGTATTTGTGCTTTTATTTCCTATTCCTACTACACTAACTAGAAACTTCACTACAGTGTTGGGAACCAAAGAAGTGATGAGGAATCCTTTTTCTCATTCTTATTTCCAGAGGGGAGGCCTTTAAGTTTACCATTTGATATGATTTTTGCTACAGTTTTGTGGGTTTTTTGCAGCTGCTTTTTATCATAAAAAAATATTCCTGCCTATTACTAGTTTTTGCTACAGATTTAAATCATAAATGATGTTGAATTATATCAAGTGCTTTTTCTGAATCTATTTATAATCATATATTTTGTCTATTATTCTGTTATTGTGGTGAATTATATTGCCTGGTTTTGAAATATAGAACCAAACTTGCATGGCTGAAGTAAACACATTTTGGCCAAGGCTTATTGCTCTTTTATATATTGCTTGATTTAATTTGCTAATAGGATTTTTACATCTGTGTTCATGGGCAAACTCAGTCTATAATTTTTCTTTCTTGAAATGTGTTTCTCAGGGGTGCCTAGGTGGCTCAGTCGGTTAAGCATTTGCCTTCAGCTCAGGTCATGATCCCAGGGTCCTGGGATTGAGTCCCGCATTGGGCTCCTTGCTGGGCAGGGAGCCTGCTTCTCCCTCTGCCTATACAGCATATGAATTTAATCCTTTGAAATTTATTGAAACTGTATTAGGCAAAACATAGGTCAGTTTTTGTAAATGTTCCATATGCACTTCAGATGAATATGTGTTCTGCAGTTGAGTACGTGTTCTATATATGTCTATTAATCATGTTTACAAGTTCTCTATCCTTATGAAATTTTTGTCTACCTAATTGTATTAATTACTGGGAGAGGCATGTTAAAAATCTTCTGCTGTAATTTTGAATTTACATATTTGATCTAATTCTAACATAATTTGATCTAATTCTGTTATATAGTGCTAATATAGCAACATCAGCTTTCTTTAGGTTAGTGTTGGCATAGTACATCTTTTTACATCCTTTATTTATTTGAGCGAGAGAATGAGATAGAGAGAGAGCATGAGAGGGGGGAGGGTCAGAGGGCAAAGCAGACTCCCTGCTGGGCAGGGAGCCCGATGCGGGACTCGATCCCGGGACTCCAGGATCACGACCTGAGCCGAAGGCAGTCGCTTAACCAACTAAGCCACCCAGCGCCCCTATTTTCAGTCTTTCTGTATCCTTAAGAGTTTTGGCATTCCCTCCTATGATTGCCTCTTTGAAGAGAGTGTATCTTTTTCCTCTGGCTGCTTCTAATTTTTTCTCTTTGTTTTCCAGTTTTACTGTAAAGTGCATAGGTATGGCTTCCTTTGTTTTTATTTTGATAAGTACAAATAGTACTTTTGTAAAACCATGTCTTAATGTCTCCTCTCCATTTTGGTGAATTTTCAGATGTTATTTGCTCAAATAGTGCTTCTGTCCCATTTTCTCTCTTTTTTCCTCTGGTACTACAATTAATATCATATATGATACTTTTTCATCTTATCTGCTTTGTCTCTTGTGATCTTTTCTATATTTTCCAAACTTTTTTCTCTCTCTGCCTAATTTCAAATATTTTCTTTTGACTCATGTTCCAGCTGATCAATATATATTTGGAAATTCTGCTTCTTAACCTTTTAATATGAAGAAGTAAGAATCAGATATGTGCACAGAAGATTTATGTTCTAAGATTTCTAATATAGATTGTTTTAATAAATTACAGTATATCTGTACAACAGATTGTATGCAGCCATAAAAATTATGTAGAATATTTAATAACATAGAAACATGATTATTAAAGGAAAAAACAAGATTATAAAAGAGATGATCCCAATTAAAAAAAAAAAAAAGACCAAAAAAGTTCCAAAATACAAAGTTGTTAGCTACGGATAAAGAGATGATGGCTAATTTTTAGTTTATTTTTGCTTCTCTGTATGGTGCAAATTTTTCTCAGTGATAAAAGGTATTATTATTCTAATGGGAACAAGTTATTTTTAAAAGCCTGATTAAATTTCTAAAATGCCATTTTTTCAGGCATAAACCTGTTTTGTAAAGAAATATGTACTTACGCTAGACTTTTATAATGCTTGGCTTAGAAGTAGATATAGCCAATAGGAATTGGTCATAATTTTATAAACACAAAGGTAAGACTCATACTTTGATTTAAGTCCTCAGTAATATTAGGCGTAATTATTCCTGTTACAAAGGGCCTCTTCAGGGTGCCTGGGTGGCTCAGTCAGGTAAGCATCTGCCTTCAGCTTGGGTCATGATCCCGGGGTCCTGGGATCAAGTCCCATGCCGGCTCCCTGCTCCGCGGGGAGCCTACCTCTCCCTCTGCCTCTGCCTGTCTCTCTGTCTCTCATGAATAAATAAATAAAATCTTTAAAAAAAAAAAAAAGGAGGGATTCTTCACAAAGTTTCTTTAACTTGGGTGTTAATAGCCTATATTACAGTATTACAGCAACTATGAATGCCAGCTAAAATATTTTTTCAGTGGTTCAAAGGCAATTGCCACGACCAGGGCACTAGATAAAATTACAGAGCACTTTAATTTTGTTTTTGGTTTCTCTATCACTTCTTATTTCTTCCCACAGGCCCCCTTACATATTCTAGATATCCTTTCTTAGCCTCTTCCACATAATTTCTAGGTACTCAGTCTTATGTTACCTTCTTTTTTTAAAATTTTTTATTTAAATTCAATTTAGTTAACATATACTATATTATTAGTTTCAGGGGTAGAATTTAGTGATTCATCAGTTGCATATAACACCCAGTGCTCATTACATCAAATGCCCTCCTTAATGCTCATCACCCAGTTGCCCCATCCCCTCACCCCCCACCCCTCCAGGAACCCTCAGTTTGTTCTCTATGGTTAAGAGTCTCATATGGTTTGCCTCCCTCTCTGTTTTCATCTTATTTTACATTTCCTTCCCTTACCCCTATGTTCATCAGTTTTGTTTCTTGAATTCCACACATGAGTGAAATCATATGATATTTGTCTTTCTCTGACTGACTTATTTAGCTTAGCATAATACCGTTTAGTTCCATCCATGTCATTGCAAATGGAAGATTTCATTGTTTTCCATTTTATATATATATATATAAATATATATATATGCATATATATATATAAATATATATATGCCACACCTTTATCCATTCATCTGTTGATGGACATCTGGGCTTTTTCCATATTTTGGCTATTGTGGACATTGCTGCTGTAAACATTGGGGTGCATGTGCACCTTCGAATCACTATGTTTGTATCCTTTGGATAAATACCTAGTAGTACAATTGCTTATGTTACCTTCTAAGTATCCAAATCCTGCTCCTTTCTACCTCTTACTTCCCCCGCAAATCAAAATTTTTGTTTCACATTGTAATTTTTCTCAGGAAAGCATAAAAACATTTAAAGCCAGTCATATTATTTTATTTAAGTATTTCTCTGTAAGGTATAAAGGACCGATGATTAGGCTTTCTAGAATAATGCTACTGCTATGATATCCAGTAATTTAATCCTAGTAGTATTATCTCTTATAGCTATTGATTTAGGAAAAAATAATGAGTTGTAAGCAAATAATAACCTCTAAATTTCTGTTTGACCAGAATGCTTTGCAATTTATGATTTACAAATAGTAAAGAACAGTATGGCAGAGTTCTTAAGAACTTGGACTTTGGAGCCAGCTTGCCTGGATTCAAACTCCAGTCTTCCTACTATGTGACCTTGAAAACTATTATTTTTACTCTTTTACTACTTCTCACTTTTGAAAGATAAAACCATACTAGTTAGGCTACCTTTGATATGGTTCTCCTCTGATTTATATTTTTAGATTACATATGAAAATGAAGTTAAACAAACACAAGTCCCTGCTAATAATCTATCTTATGGTGTCACTTCGGTACCTACTCACTGTGAAGAAGGCCCAGTGCATAAAAGCACACAAATGTCTCTGAAAAGACCCCCTCACCGCAGTGTTGGTATGTTTGGACTCTTCGACTGATAATTGAATTGATCTTTTGTATACGAAAGATAAATGACAAGCAAAATGTAATTCACAGGCAAATGTGTTTATTCTCTTTCAGGTATTCAAGCCAAAGTGAAAGTGCTTGGAAAACAACTGTGTAATGCCACTACTCAGACCAACGGATTGCGGTCTAGAAGTGCCTCCCTCTTTGACATTTACTCCAGTGACTCAGAGCCAGATGCAGACTGGGATGTCAAGAGTGAGCAGAGCAATTTGTCTTACATAGCTGTGCAGGTGAAAGAAGAGTCTTGTTAAAAATGCAACATCAAATGACTTGATGTCCTATAGGTTTTCAAACCTTCACTCACACAATTACTTCTTTGCTCTTGTAAATCTTTCACTTTGGGATAGTTGAGTATCAGCAAAATTTGTTCAGCTCTAAGGCAAAAATGTGTCCGCCTGCCAAGATAATGAAGATAATCCTGCCCACAAACCTCCCCACCTCCCACTTTCACCTCTTGTTTTTTTTTTTTTTTTCTTTTTATCCTTTTGGTGGAAATCGAGTTATAAAACAAAACCACAATAGCAGCATTTCCAGATCAAGATTAAGCACTGAATATTTAAGCTTACTGTAGAAACAACACTTATATGGGACTTATATGACATTCACAAGTTAGAACGTCACTATTCTAAATAATTTGAAGATAATAGCAAGCACAACCAAGCGTGATACTATTAAATGATTTGGGAGCCAGGAGACTTATCCTTGATTATTATTTTTTCTATGTTGTATATTTATTAGTTTGTCCATTTGTAATACTATTGGATCTGTGGATCAGTCCCTGTAAGCATTTCTGGTGACGTTATGGCTCTTACAGAAAATTTTCAAAGGGAATTAATTTAAATAGAGATAGAGTTTCATATACTTGGATTGCCTTGTTAATGAAATCTATTTGCATTGGTTCCTATTACAACAAACCAATTAGCTTGATTAATTTATATTGAAATTATTAACATCATGCAAAAAATAGTATTATATTTCTAACATATCCCCATTTCAAGAATTAGGTTTTCCTCTATTAATACCATTCTATTGAATTCTACATTTGGGAAATAAGCATGTGAAACATAGTCGCCCCATCTGCCATTCACCAGGAAAATTTCTATGGCAATTTTGTACCATGAATAATTTGTTACAATTGTTTCTGAGAAACTTATTATAACTCTGATCTTCTATTGAGAATAATAAAAATAAATGTCCATTTTACACCTCACATGTCTTGTTAGTTGCTCATGACTGGAAGAACTTGCATGCATTTTATCCTAGAAGGTTTAAATAATATACCAAAGTGATTTTCTTCCAAAGCCAATTTCATGTGTGACTTAATTTGAACAGTATAATTTTAATAAAAAGAATAATAAAATATTAATAGAAGTTGTGAGCCTGAACAATGATTATGTAAATACATAACATTATTATTATTATTATTATTATTGCTGCTGCTTTGGCTTTGAGATAACTATTTGCTGTTTTGAGAGAGCATTGTGTTTTAAAATTAAGAATATAAATCTTCTGAAGCTAAATATTATTAGTAAGTACCTATTGTTCCTTGAGCTTATAAATAGCCTATCACCTTAATTCAAATTATAACGAATGTTATATACCCATTTATCCCCAAATTTCACTGCCATGAGTTTAGTTCTCTGTGTTAAACAATTTTGACAACCATAACCTACCTATCTTTCTTAATTTCTTCCTTTCTTTCTTTCTTCCTTTTCAGTTAGGTTTTTTTCTTTTACCAATTGAGAATTTATGTTTGGTTTGTTGATTCACATGATTTTATAATGTATTGTGCAATGTTTCACTGTCCTAAAGTAAATGAAATACTGGCTTTATTTTAAATTAAATATGAAGAACATATAGTTTATATAATATTGAATACTTTTTCCATATTTTCAATTATCTTAATTTCTTTTGTTGCCAGATTAGTTTAATGGGGAAAAATGAGATGCACCTCAACACCTGCCATATCATTTTTCATTTGTTTATGTAATAAGTACTTATTAAACATACTCTGTCCCAGATAACTGTTCTAGCTACCAAGGACACATTGGTGAGCAAGACAAAAATTCTGCCCTCTTGGTGCTTACCTTTAGAGGGGAGCCAGACAATAAACAAGGAAATGGATGAATAATTTTAGATAGTGCTATGAAGAAAACAAAGCAGAGTAAGATGTTAGAACATAATTGGGGGGCCCGAAGGATGGCGGAGGAGTAGGGGACCCTATTTCAGCTGGTCCCTGGAATTGAGCTGGATATCTACCAGACCACTCTGAGCACCCACGAAACCAGCCTGAGATGTAAGAAGATCTGGATCTCTACAAACAGAATATCGCAGGCGGTTGCTTTTGAGGTACGAAGCGGAGAGCCATGATCCTGCGGGCAGATATCGGAGGATAAACGGTGCCGGGAGGGTGCCTGGACGTGGGAATCCTAGACCGCCAGTGAGTGACAGCCTCGCGCGCTGCGGACGGGGCAGACTCGCAGACCAGTAGTGGTGGGGAAAGGACTCTAGGGCAGCCCCCGGGGTGGAAACCCAGACCAGTGGGGTCGCATGTACGCGAACTGCAGCCCCCTGGCCGGAAACCTGGAGCGCCGGGGTCACCCCGGTGAACTGCAACCCCGGGGTGGAAACCCGGAGCAACGGAGTCACGCGCACGCAAACTTGCAGCCCCCTGGACGGAAACCGAAGCATAGGAGTCGCGCAGGCGCGAACTGGGAGCGGCTGGCAGTTTTAGAAGCACAAAGGGCAGAGACGTGCCCCGACCTGGAGGCAGGATTGGGAGCGCTGCGGAGGGGCGCACAACCCAGGACGCTGCAGTTTATAGCAGCACGGACAGAAACGGAGACGGTGTGGCCTGGAGAGCTCACTGAAGAACAGACTGCGGTCTCTCTGCTCTGAGGCAGAGGGTTGGAAACGGTCTCTTCTCCTCTGACTCATGGAAGAGACGCGGAAAGCCGCCAGGGAAAGGCGCCAGAGAACAAAAGCCCCAAAAACACTTGTTCCCACTGAGCCCATCCCCGCCACAGGGGCGCAGGGCAACTCCGCCCAAACAGGGTTGCCTGAGTAACAGTGCGTCAGGCCCCTCCTGCAGAAGACAGGCTGGGAAAACAAGAGGCCAGCAACCCTAAGGTCCCAAGAAAACGGGTGCATCTGGCTTGGGTTCTGGTCAATAATTTGGACTCTATACATTCCCTCAAACACCCATCAACAGAATGACTAGGAGGAGGAGCCCCCAAAACAGAAAAGACTCAGAGATTATGACTTATGCTGCAGATATACAAATGGATGCAGATATAACCAAGATGTCAGAGATGGAATTCAGGCTAGCAATTGTGAAGACAATGGCTAGAATGGAGAAATCAATTAATGGCAACATAGAGTCTCTAAGGGCAGAAATAAAAGGTGAATTGGCAGAACTTAAAAATGCTATCAATGAGATCCAATCCAATCTAGATAATCTAACAGCTAGGGTAACTGAGACAGAAGAGCGAATAAGCGACCTGGAAGACAATATAATAGATAAAAAGGGAAAAGAGGAGGCCAGGGAAAAACAACTCAGATCCATGAAAATAGAATCAGAGAAATAAGTGACACCATGAAGCGTTCCAATGTCAGAATAATTGGAATCCCGGAGGGAGTGGAGAGAGAGAGAGGACTAGAAGATGTATTTGAGCAAATAGTAACTGAGAACTTCCCTAATCTGGGGAATGAAACAAACATTCGAGTCCTAGAGGCAGAGAGGACCCCTCCTAAGATCAAGGAAAACAGGCCACCACCCCGGCATGTAATAGTAAAACTTGCAAATCTTAGAACCAAGGAAACCATCTTAAGGGCAGTTAGGGGGAAGAGATTCCTTACGTACAGAGGGAGGAACATCAGAATAACGTCAGACCTATCCACAGAGACCTGGCAAGCCAGAAAGGCCTGGCAAGACATATTCAACGTACTAAATGAGAAGAACATGCAGCCAAGAGTACTTTATCCGGCAAGGCTTTCATTTAGAATGGATGGAGAGATACAGAGCTTCCATGACCGGCAAAAGCTGAAAGAATATGTGACCACTAAGCCGGCCCTGCAAGAAATATTAAGAGGGGTTCTATAAAAGGAGAAAGACCCCAACAGTGATATACAACAGAAATTTACAGGGACAATCTATAAAAACAATGTCTTCACAGGCAACATGACAATTAATTCATATCTTTCAATAATCACTCTCAACGTGAATGGCCTAAATGCTCCCATAAAATGGCACAGGGTTGCAGATTGGATAAAAAGACAGGACCCATCCATATGCTGTCTACAAGAGACTCATTTTGAACCTAAAGATATATCCAGACTGAAAATGAAGGGATGGAGATCCATCTTCCATGCCAGCGGACCTCAAAAGAAAGCTGGGGTAGCAACTCTTATATCAGACAAATTAGGTTTTAAACTAAAGTCTGTAATAAGAGACACAGAAGGACACTATATCATTCTTAAAGGGTCTATCCAACAAGAAGATCTAACAATTGTAAATATCTATGCGCCCAACATGGGAGCAGCCATCTACATAAGCCAACTGTTAACCAAAATAGAGAGTCATATTGATAACAATACGTTAATTGTAGGAGACCTCAATACTCCACTCTCAGCAATGGACAGATCATCTAAGCAGAAAATCAACAAGGAAACAAGAGCTTTGAATGATACATTGGACCAGATGGACCTCATAGATATTTACAGAACATTCCACCCTAAAACAACAGAATACTCATTCTTCTCGAGCGCACATGGAGCTTTCTCCAGAATAGACCATATACTGGGTCACAAATCAGGTCTCAACCGATACCAAAAGATTGAAATTATTCTCTGCATATTCTCAGACCACAATGCTCTAAAACTGGAACTCAATCACAAGAAAAAATTTGGCAGAAATTCAAACACTTGGAAGCTAAAGACCACTCTGCTCAAGAATGTTTGGGTCAGGGTGCCTGGGTGGCTCAGTTGGTTAAGCGACTGCCTTCGGCTCGGGTCATGGTCCTGGAGTCCCTGGATCGAGTCCCGCATCGGGCTCCCTGCTCAACGGGGAGTCTGCTTCTCCCTCTGACCCTCCCCCCTCTCGTGTGCTCTCTCTCATTCTCTGTCAAATAAATAAATAAATAAATAAATAAATAAATAAATAAATAAATAAATAAAAGAATGTTTGGGTCAACCAAGAAATCAAAGAACTTAAACAATTCATGGAAATCAATGAGAATGAAAACACATCGGTCCAAAACCTATGGGATACTGCAAAGGCGGCCCTAAGGGGGAAATACATAGCCATCCAAGCCTCACTCAAAAAAAGAGAAAAATCCCGAATTCACCAACTAACTCTACACCTTAAAGAACTAGAGAAAAAGCAACAAATGACGCCTAAGCCACGCATTAGAAGAGAAATAATTAAAATTAGAGCAGAAATCAATGAATTAGAAACCAGAAACACAGTAGGTCAGATCAATGAAACTAGAAGTTGGTTCTTTGAAAGAATTAGTAAGATTGATAAACCACTGGCCAGACTTATCCAAAAGAAAAGAGAAAGGACCCAAATTAATAAAATTATGAATGAAAGGGGAGAGATCACAACTAACACCAAGGAAATAGAAACAATTATTAGAAATTATTATCAACAACTATATGCCAAAAAACTGAACAATCTGGATGAAATGGAGGCCTTCCTGGAAACCTACAAGCTGCCAAGACTGAAAGAGGAAGAAATTGACAATCCGAATAGGCCAATAACCAGGAACGAGATTGAAGCAGTGATCAAAAACCTCCCAAAAAACAAGAGTCCAGGGTCTGATAGATTCCCTGGGGAATTCTACCAAACATTCAAAGAAGAAATAATAGCTATTCTACTGAAGCTGTTTCAAAAAATAGAAACAGAAGGAAAACTTCCAAACTCATTCTATGAGGCCAGCATTACCTTAATCCCCAAACCAGGCAAAGACCCCATCAAAAAGGAGAATTTCAGACCGATATCCCTGATGAATATGGATTCCAAAATCCTCAACAAAATCCTAGCTAATAGGATCCAACAATACATTAAAAGGATCATCCACCACGACCAAGTGGGATTTATCCCCGGGATGCAAGGGTGGTTCCACATTCACAACTCAATCAATGTGATAGAACACATTAATGAGAGGAGGGAGAAGAACCATATGGTCCTCTCAATTGATGCAGAAAAAGCATTTCACAAAATACAACATCCTTTCCTGATTAAAACTCTCCAGAGTATAGGGATAGAGGGAACACTGCTCAAGCTCATAAAATCCATCTATGAAAAACCCAGAACAAATATCATCCTCAATGGGGAAAAGCTGAGAGCCATTCTCTTAAGATCAGGAGCA